AAGTATTTGTAAGTGTATATATGTATGTTTCTTGTTCTCCTGTTAAAATCAATAAATAAATGTTTAAAAAAAAAAAAAATGGTGTATTTTGTTGGTGCACAAGCAAATGAGAAGCATGCTTAAAGTCGCAAAATACTAGAGCACTTACGGTAAGACTGTCCTGCAAAACATATTCGGGATTGTTTTTACGTCTTTAATTTTTTGCAACATAAAGTTACTCTATGTTGCAAAAAATAAAATGTTTTGGTTTTTTTGCAACATAGTTACTCGGGCTGCACAGTGGAGTAGTGGGTAGCACTGCTGCCTTGCATCAAGAAGGTTCCAGTTTAAATTTCAGGCCGGGGATCTTTATGCATGGAGTTTGCATGTTCTCCCTGTGCATGCGTGGGTTCTCTCCAGGTACTCTGGCTTCCTCCCACAGTCCAAAAACATGACAGTTAGGTTAATAAGCTTCTCTAAATTCTCCTTATGTGTGAGTGAGTATGTGTGTGTGTATGATGGACTTGCGACCTGTCCAGGGTGTAACCCGCCACTGGCCCATTGACAGCTGGGGCTAGGCACCAGGCCCCATCACGACCCCAGCAGCGATAAGCGTGACAGAAAATGGGTGGATGGATTATGTTACTCTGTAAAACTAAATGAGGACATCGAACCACGGTAAAAGAAAATCATTGAAGTTGAGAACACAAATTCTCATGATTTCAATGCATTTATATACCCACAATTATTACAAAGACAGGCGCTGAGTTAATTATTAAGCCAAAAGTTTTTATTTTTAGACACAAACACTTCAATATAAAAAAGAAAAAATTGAACAGTACATAAAACATTCCTAATAGTTTGTTAACATGAATCTAGTGTATTACAAAGTAAACTGACAACCGATAGAAGAAAATATAAGTACAAGCTGGATTCCTGAGAAACTATTCAATACTTATAAGAGTGGAAACAGGGAAAGTCACACAACCAAAAAATGATCGAAGATTCATCAAAGCATTGGATACTCCAAGCCCACCATTACTTTTTACATATTTTTCATAAGCTAATGGTGATTGTCTGAAGAGGCCTAGGGCCAAATAGTCTGTAAAAAAGTTTTCAAAGATAAAATAACACTTTCCTTTATGGTATAAAGTCATCCAGAAATAAGACACCAAAAAAAAAAAACAGCATACAAACCTCTTTTTTGTGCCATTATTGAATTTCCTAAAATGTAGTATAGTGGGAGAAGGTGCTAGAGTGCAAAAATATTCTCCAGAAAATAAAAAAAATGTACTGCAATGACTACAAATAATAAAAAAGCTAGGCTGATGCACAGAAAAAAATGTAACTTACCCACACTAAGTTTAAACACCATATTGCACAATTTATCACAACTACATGCAACTGAAGTAGATGAATATAGCTTAATATATTTCTCATACTTTTCAGTAGAATTACAAAAGTGTAGAATGCTACTTTTTTAACATTTTACATTATCAAAAAAATTATACTTGCAGGCATTGCATAAGTTTGTGAAATCAAAACTTTTTTTCATATTTGAACCTCCAGAAGAGTCCTTACATTTATAACACAATTTAAAAACTTAATACACTAAATAAAACAAGCAAAAAAAAAAACAATCACATAAAACGACATAAAAGGGTGAGTGTATTTCATGAACAACAAAAGGAATGTCCAGAGGAGTTTTGAGCATGTTAGGTCATCAATCTCTTGCTAGATTTTCTAACCTTTACACATTAGCTTAAGTTAAAAAAAAAACTTTAAGAAGGCAGGGATACAAAACTGACAACAAAAACCAAACCTGCTCCTAAAACATCACATCTAACTTAGCTGTGTAAAATACTAACTGGTTATTTGGTTATTGTTGTCAACAAAGCATGAAGCATAGAGCAACACAAAGAGCAGGCATATCATCAATGGACTGGAGTCGTTTTCTGCTGATGGAAAACAGACCTGGAGATGGGAAAATCGTAAAATTCCTATCTGTATCGATTGGTTCTGGCCATGATAGCAGTTATCAAGCTATAGGAAGGTTTTAAAGAGTTGCTGTTATGCAACTAATACAATTTGACATCAAATATTGGTTTTATCAGTAGTTGCTCCTGTTGGAGCAAATTATGGAATGCAGGTTTTAATGTGGTTGCATTTCAATCAGCTGTATGTGGGTCTAACAGGACTGGGATGAAATAAATATAAATTTTTTAATCTATTTATTTATATAGCTGCTATCCTATAACAGCTGTACCGTGTCCAGTTGAGTCCTAGCATGAACGGGAATGGTGGCCTAGTGGTTAAGGCATAGAGCTTGGAATCCAGAGGTTCTGAGTCCACTCCCACAGTATGCCACTCTGGGTCTGTGAGCAAAGACCCTTAACCCTACACTGTTCCCTGGGCGCCACACGATGGCAGCCCACTGCTACCCAAGGGGAGAGGTTACATGCAGAGACTTAATTTCATTGCTCTGTACTTGTGACAGTGTAATTATGATGAAAGCTGGTAAAGAAAAAGAATAAAAAAGACGATCAGAGAGTGAATCTCATAAGGGCAGACTAACTAGTATTTAGATTCAATAATAATAATTGAACATCATTGATCTCACAATGGAGAAATTCACTTTTGCATTGTGACCCATCCCCTTGGGGAGCAGTGGGCTGCCACTATGTGGCGCCTGGGGAGCAATCAGGGGTTAAGGGTCTTGCTCAGGGAGCAAGAAATCAGGGGATCGAACCGGCTACTTGCAACCTTCTCAGAGCACAAGCGCACTGCTCTAACCACTAGGACAACACTCCATATTTCATCTTTACCGCTTTTTTAAAGTTAAAGCAATGACCCCTTATGTCTAGGAGACGTGACCTTAAAGGTCTAATGCACTAACTACTGCTCTGCAGTATTAGAATCTCCCTCGGCTTTCAGGCCATTATGGAGTCTATACAGCTAGGGCTTAACATTTCATATTTAGGTATAATTTTTTTTTTTTTTTTACATCTGAGTGACTTAAATTGGGTTGAATTTGCTTTGCAACATTAAGGTTTTAATTCCTTTATTTAGATTCAGGGGAATATAACAGAGTTAAGATGTGGAAACTAAAATGTAACATTACTCTCACCAAGTTGACCCTTTTTAAACTTTAATCCTGCACTGTAATGTCATGCATATCTTTCCTTTATATTTTTGTATTAATACCATATTGTTATATGATTGTATTTTTACTCAGGGCTGTACCATTAGAAAATCATACCAGCCTATGCCTACATTTAACACTTAAGAAAATACTGTATAACACCAAAAAACTCAAGGCTAGTTCTAACTGTTAAGGGAGCCAATTTTACATGCTTTCCTTCACTTTGGAAAAGTATTTATTTTTCATCTCATTAAAGGAAATCTTACATGTTTTGTTAGAAAATAATGTGTAATAACGACACATTTTAAAGAAGCAGTCTCCTTATATGACTTCTCTAATTTATATGGGAATAACGCACTCTATGTATAATAAAGTTTTTCAGAACAATTATTGCACCCTGCTGGTGTGGCATCTGTTATTTTTGTTTTATGCTATGTTTTTTGCTGAGTTTGTTAATAAATGAAGCCCTTTTTTGTCTATCTACAATAAGACCTTGTAACCAGTGACATGGCACTGTGCATGATGAGTATGCAGGGAAGTAATGGGGCAAGTCAGCAACTACAGGCGAAATTGAGAAAATAGTGACTTCCAAGATCCCGTGTGTAAAATTGTAGAAAAACATTTGGTTTCAAGAGGGAGTACAGTGCGAATGTTGGTGCTCATTTAGGGGGGCAGCTAAATCTGCAGAGGGATTCATTATTGCTTCAAAGCTTATGGTTGCGTGAGTAAACGTGCTCATTAATACTGATACTAGTGATAGCAATGCTATTCATGGCCCTGCCTTATTGAAGGTTAACTTCACTGTAATGGGACTGAATTCATAATATGCTTTTCTACTCATTCCAGCAACTCAAACCACCAACGGTCAAGTGACTTGCCCTGCGGCACATTGAGCTGTGACAGGAAGAAGCAGGAATCCAACCCAGAAATTCAGAATCCAAGGCGACTACTCTTCCTGAGCCAGTTTCCACTGTTATATAATCCAAAAGATAAGTCCTGCCTCTTAATGGATTCCTATGAGACGGATATGACTCATCAACTTATATTTTAGAAGTATGTTTTTCTATTGGTTTGCAAAAGATTATTAAAAGATCAAAATACGGCTGCAGCCCTGGATGTAAACAAGAAAAACAAGCCCCTAGTATTGGTTATATTAATACAAACCTCCACTAATGCTGATCCACTGAGGAGGATTAAATCTAGATTCCAAATAAATTAGGTCACCAATCTGCCCCAAAAGCCTTATCCCACACTGTAATGTTGCTGTAGCAACATTACAGTGTGGGATAAGACTGTAATGTTGCTGTAGCAATGCCATCAAATTTCTCTCAAAGACAACTCTGATCTCTACGAGACTTTCACTGACACTCATTTACCTCCAATGTGTTAGTTTATTTTTTATGTTTATAAGAGTTTACCAATCAACCCTGTGGAGCTGAAGGCCTCTGAGATCTGTGGTCCACAACGTAGAACTGAAACACCCGGATCAATGTTTTAGGTTCATATATTTGAGTAAAAGACAACTTAGTTGATGTTGGACAAGAGATGAGTTTCTATGCCTTTTAGAAAGTTGATGACTTTGTAATATTGCTGTTATAGCTTTGGTTGGTCATATAAACCGCCCAAATAACCCTGAATCTGGTACTATTTTGGAATGCAGAGTAGTCTACGTTTAGCTGGCCAGTAGTTTGTCTGTACATTTCCTCCTCTAAGCCATAAATACCACACCGTGATATTGTAAACAAAAGATCCCGATCACAATGGCACTGGCCTCAGAATGTTCTAAAAGAAAAATATAAACAAAATGAACAGCAGCTACCAGCGTCCGTATTGGTTCTGCTAGACTGGCACTGGCATTAATACCTTACTTTAATGGTAGTACACGGAAACAAGATCACATCCTGTTTCTTAGTGCCTCAGGGTCACCATTCTGTGACCTGATCGAAGCGCAGGGTATGTATGGCTTCCTTCATACTTGTTCTTTGTCAGCTTTCCACAACTGTTCTTTAGCATCTGCAGGCAGCGTGTTGAAGAGGTCCTCTTCTACCACGAGACCGCTTCTCTTTAGCTGTCTGCACTCTCCCAGCTCCACAGGCAAGCACTCCAGGCGGTTTCCTCTAAGCTCTAGCTGAGTCAGTGCGGTGAGCTCTCCAAACCGCGACGGCAGAGACTGGAGGCAGTTGTTCCCCAGGTTTAAAGTGCGAAGCTTTTTGCACTGGAACAGCTCATTTGGCAGAGCCTCGATCTTTGTTTCATAGTGTAAAAAGTTGTACAAAAGAGAAATAAAAATAGTTAAACACAGGCACTAAAGCCAAATGTAAGTAATAAACAATATAAAATGCAAAGACTTGCAAAAGATTTAACACTCCTTGAAGTTCTTTGTCACATTTCAGTCATAAAAAAATCAAATAAATTTCACTACGATCTTATGTAATGAGTGAACATTTACTAGTGAAGGAACTTGTACATATTTTCAACAAATTCTTTACAGATTAAGAAACTCAGTATTTGTAAAAAGCCTGAAAAAGTGTTGGTTGAGTATGAATTTGCCCCACATGAATAAATCCTCTGAAGAATAACCTTTCACTGTAATCAGTGTTTGTCTATACCAGCACTGACTGCACATCTAGAGTTGAACATTTTCAGCTTCAGATTCATTCATGTGACTAAATGAAGCCCAAACTCAATCTGAATAAAGAAAGTCTGCTACCACTTTGTTTTTCTGACATTCCCAGATGGATTTAGGTCTGGACCATTAAAGCACATAAACATGCTATGCTCTATACCATTTAATGCGGCTCTGGGTGTTTTGGGGGTAATTACCCTGCAGGAAAATGAACCTCCAACTTGGTTTCAAGTTCTTGGTTATTTTTTTTTTCCAGGTTTGTCCTGTGCTCGGCTTCACTGATCTGCCCATCGTAACAAACTGCATCTCATGGGACTTTTTATAGGTCCTTTCAAAAGAGGCTTTTTTTTATCTCCGAAAAGGCCAGTTTTGGAGGCTGCGGATGTGTGTAGCTCCTCGAGTCACCAGAGGCCTCTTGGCAGCTTTTTGATTACTGCTCTCCTTACCCAGCTTGTCAGCTCAGATGTACGGCCATGTCTTGTTAGATTTTTAGTTGTTCCCTACTCCTTCCCATTTGCCAATGACTGATTGAACAGAGCTCTGGTACAAGTTCAAAGCTTGGGATATTCTTATATAAGTTGACCATAACTCAAACTTTTCCATACTATATTCCTCACCTTTCTTGGGATATTGCATAATCTAACTGCAAGAATCTAGGTAATGTTCTCTGACCAAATATTTCAGACTTTCACAGAACATCTGTATTAAAATGAACATGATTTAATTTATTTTAAAGGCTATTTCTGAGGACAATTAATTGGGGACAACTTTTTCCATGCGTTTTAGATTAAAGTGGGCTGCAAACACACAGCAATTTATACAGTTTCATTTATAAAAACAAAACTTCCTTTCACATCAATGCAGATCATTGGATTAGTTTATCAAATAAAATAAATGAAATTAATTTGAGGCAAAAAGACAGAGAGGTTCAAGGAGTAAACATGCTTTTGCGAGGCAGTAGAAATAAAAACCTGCTCCCTCTGTACTTACCCTGTTGGCTGTCACTGCCATGTACTGTAGATTTTGAAGGTAACTGATGTCTGCTGGAATACATGTCAAGTTATTGTGGCTCAAATCCAAGACTCGTAGCTTCCGGCAGTAAAACAACTGGCTGGGAATCTTCTCAATCTTGTTTCTGTTTAGATGCAACTTTTCCAGGTTGGTCAGAGTGCCGATTTGAATAGGAATGTAGGCAATCTGGTTGTACCAGAGCTTTAAGCACACAAGCCGATGAAGGTGCTGGAAGCTGATGATCTCCTCTATGGTCTTTAGGTTGTTGTCCTTCAGATCAATCTCCTGCAGGTTGTGCAAACTGAAGATCGAGTGGGGTATGCGCTCTAGATCACAGCGAATGAGCTCTAGCTCTGTGAGATTCACCATCTTCTTTAGGCTGTTCAGCACCATCAACTTAGTGCCTTCATTGTTGATTGAGAGCTTCTGGAGGTGCAGGCCAACATCGGTCACAACTTGAGGTAGCTTGGTGAGATTGCTCTTCAGACGGAGAACTTTGAGCCTTTTAAGCTCACGGAGCCCATCAATGACAATGTAACGGTTGTTCTCAGCGCTCAAATTCCCTGTGAGATGAAGCTCGCTCAGGTTTTTTAAACTGTAAATCCATAAAGGGATTTCTTTAATGTCTGTAAACTTGATGTGCAGAGACTTTAGATTCTCGCGCAAAAACGCCAAGGCGGGAGCTTCGATTTTTGCGGGAGTGTGATAGAGCCACATCTCTCGAAGGTTGACCAGCTGTGCGATGATTGGCGGGATGGTAACGTCTGGGATGAGCTCCAGCTTGAGAACTTCCAACTCCATCAGATCAAACACTGTATCTGGAATGCCGCTCAGCATGAAAAGGTGCAACTCCAATTTCTCCTGAGAGTTCTTGGTTATCCTCTGCCTGAGCTTGTCAAGCGTCCACTCGTTGTTGAGGTTTAGCTGCCTCAGCTTATTTTCACTGACCTCTGAGAGGAAGACGGCAAAGCGTTTGGAGTACAGAGGATCATACTGGTCGATCATGTGCAACATAAATGCAAAGTCATTCTTCACGTCGGGTATATCGCTGTAACTGCTCTCCTCCCGGATTGATTCGAACGAGTACTTCTTCAGAGAGCGCCGCAGCATCCAGCAGAGCGTATACATGCAGATCAGACCATACACCACCACTAAGCAAATGTAGAAACACGCCAAGATTTTAAAAAGTGTAGCAAGCGGATGAGCACAGTGGTACACTTTGTAACCGGTCAGGCTTTCTATATTCACAGAACAGTCCACACTAAATTTAATATCGTGCACATAATACCCTGTGTAGCAGATGATTAAAATAAACTTGATAACTTTTATGATTGTCTGACGGATGTACAGTCTGTATACGACGTCTCCTTCTTCCACGTGGATACGGAACTTCTTCACTTTTTCAAACAGAGCTTTTGCCTGCTCTCCTTCCTTCTTGTCCAAAACTCCTGTCTCCGTTCTATCAACGATGCCTTGCTCGAAGCGCGTCTTTGTTCTCTGAATCATTGGAATGCTGGCTTCCACATCCTCACTTATTACCGACTCCTTATGGTCAAAAGATCCATTCATTTTCATTGGTTTAGGATCACTTTCTTCCACCACAGTCTCTGACAGTGCCCTGGTTGTCCAGGGAGAGTCAAAACATTTAAGCAAAATGGAAACAAAGTGTTCTAGTTTGGAGCTAGTCCGAGGAAATTTAAACCAAAAGTTGCTGCAAGCTAGGAAAATAAGTGTGTGGAGTAATACCAAGTATGGAAAGTACTTGGCAAACCAATGCAACCTATTTTCATAGCACACTGCATCAACATAATTGTACTGATGGCGATCCAGATCATACTGAATCCCTTTTGGCTCCGATGGGAAGGACGCGGACAAGTTGGAGCTGAAGTTCCTCTTGCATGTCTCATTGACGACCCATTTGCAGGGAAGGCAGATCATCTTGTCTTGGGTGACTTGAAGTGTTCCACCAAAAACAGAAATCATGAGCATGACGATGGAGATGTAGTCTGTGAACACATCCCACCATGGCTTCAGGATGCGGTATGCAGGCTGGGTGTCCACAAAGTACCGCAGCTCAGTGATGGGGATCATGGCTCATCTGTGGGAGGACGACAGAAGAACTGGTCACCAAATCATCAACGCTGCTTTTAAAAAGATTTCAGACTTTCAGTGCTGACATGACAACATACACCTGACAATTTACCAAGTCTGACCAAAAACTAAATGATTGAATAAATCATTTAATCCATACAGTTAAATAAATGATCTACATATTTATCTAATTTAAACATTCATAGATAGAGCTCAATTTGTCCCATAAAAAGGAGAAAAAAACATTTAAAATGTAAAAAAGCATTTTTAAAATATAAATTGGTTTTGAATTCTGAAACATTTTGATAAAGAAAATAATCAGTGGATGAATAAGGTCGAGAGATTATAGGCAGTGAGAACCTTTTTTTAATAGGAATCAAGATAACTAAGTCTATTAAAGGGTAAGAGAAGTATGTTCATCAAAATGTTCAAATCAAAAGATCATTTAAAAAAAAAAAACACACAAAAATATTTAACTGGAAAAATAAACTAGTTCTAATTATTTTCTATTAGGAATCAAGCAAGACCAGATTTTCTTTAATTGCTTTAAGCAAACTGGTTAGCATAAACCACAATACTGTTCTAAAGGAAACAGGGGAAAACTTTAGTAACAGGAAGAAAAAGGTGATTTATATACAATAAGAAAAGCAAAGTGACCTGAAGTTACCCCGTTATATAGAAGGAAAAATGAGTTTAACCCTTTATGCATGGTAAGGATTTAAATCCTTTATTTACCTGAATGATTTAGTAGGAAGTGGCAGCAAGATTTTGCATAAAATATGAACTAAATTCATACTCTATACAGTAAAAGCTAAAGAAAAGAAATGAGTTACAAAATGTTAACATTAAACCTGAACCATAAAAGCTGCCTGATGGTACATTAATGTAAATGTTTAATACTGATGGTTAACACAGATATTAGGAAGATCCTTCACTCTGCCCATTATGATCGTTTGGCCAACGCTCTCTCATCATAATTAGTCTCGACTGGTCCTCCAATTATGACTTAATGTGGCATCTCCTTTATATTTAAAAGTTTTTGGAACAACCAAAGGGCAAACCTTTGACAATAATTTCAACTAAGGGCTGCATAACAAGCTAATCATACAACTGAATAATTTTACTACTGTGATGTTAAAGAACAATTGTAGAATAGAAGAATTCACGCCCGCAGTTGCATCCCTCTGTTCCCTAACAACAGGCTTGTTTTTGGCTTCCTGTGCAACAATTCTGGGTCCTAATAAAGATATACATCATTTTTGACAATGTAGGGAAGATAAGAGACGGCTTATTGTGGAGGAGAAGATACATGACCGACTCCTAAAGTGGCAGCTCATACAGCTGCGAAAGCTCTGCCTCTGCTGTAAAATCTATATCTGGATGCTACGGTGAATGTTTGACGGAAAATTAAAAGCAGTTGCCGTAAAAGTGGAAACAATTGCCAATTAATACCATTATATTATTTATTGATCTTAAACAGATCAGAAATAAGAATAATTGTCTGTAAAAATATTCACAATATAAATAGTACTTTTGTATATTCTGTATATTGTCTCCAGGCTAAAACATGCTTTTACCCATTTCAAGTTCATCCATTTGCGCTTAAAGAACCTAATTAGAACACTAATGGATGAAATAAAGAGAGGTAGAGAAGCAAAACATCCCCCAGTGGGTAAGAACTGTCGCTACAAAAACATTCCCCAGCTGACAGCAGTATTGCATCCCTTTAAAAAGGTGCACATTAAACAAGCAAAGTTTCCAAGCTGGTGGAGTGAAGTCAGTCCTTAAAGCTGCATTTTTTTCTTTTAAAGAGATGGGTTGTAAAATCTAACTGTTGTAGTTTCCAACTCTCATTAAAATTATTTAAATTCATAGAAAACAATTAGAGAGCGACATGTAAACATTTCTTACATTTCTAAATAGTCATCTCTTCGGAAAAGGAAAAATGACGGAAATATTTCAGTTACATCAATCAGGTGTTTTGGAGCAAGGCAACAACCAAACTCATGCTGAGGTTCATGTATTGAGAACTGGAACAGGACATGACTGTCCTAAAGTATAACAAGGTTTCTAAGTAAAGTCAACCTGCCACATGACTATTAGATCTAACACATTCAATGGAAGAGGCTTCATCAAGATCACAGAGATAAAGGAAACATGGCTTTGTTTAATCGTGTATAATTATGTTTAGAATGCAATAAACCATCATTTACTAATTGCTTAATAATGTAATAGCAGCATCAGCTAGAAAACCTCTGTAACATTTGACTCTTCTGTTTCGCATCTGTCAATTGATGTTTTCAACATTTTCTGTGACCTGATCTATGTCAAGGTTTGACTATTTAACGCAGTAAGAATAATAATGCCTGCATGTGTGATGCAAGTTGTGCTGGACTGTGTCAAGCTGTTTCACTGGTTAAAAAAAATAAATAATAATAATATATCTATATGTCCTTTTCAAAAAAGCAAAGAAAGCAAAGCTGCAGTTATTGTCACTTCGCCCACTTCGTCACCAACCTGCTCACAATGTTTTTAAAACATGTTTGGTAAAAGATTTTAAGACAGATAAGAGGACATAAAAAAAAAAACAGAAAAGATGTTTTACTTTTTTCATTTTTTTACACTGGGTGAGGACAGTGGCAGGGTTTGAAGTGAAGTTTTCTAAAGTTATTTTTAAATTTCATATGAGGGGAGCGTGATGTAAGGCAACACTGTAACAGTGAGTCACAAAGAACGACACAGCTGGAAAGGTTGCTTATGTTCCACATTGTCCCTAATAAGTGTCCTAGTTGTCCAATATTTGTTTTTTTAGGATCTAATCACCCTACCTATAAGCAAAGTGAAAATTCATGCCTCATCGTGCATAACAGTTAATCTAAATGTCATTTTTTTATTGAAAATACAAACAACCAACTAATACTGCATTCCAGCATTAATGTTGTGCACTCTGTTACAGTTTGGAAACACGGTGCAGCTCCTGGTCTACCTTAAAGCCCCCACTTTCTGACTGCTCTGAAATTAACACATTTCCATCAATATAAATTATATTAATCCAATTCTGTGCCCTTTTTTAGGCCATAAGATAATCTAAAGTCCAAAAACTTATTTTAACATTTACTTTGCTAAAATGAATATAAAACACCAGATAATTTGAATGACATTTTAATACTAAATGATTCCATTCCATGGTAATACCGAGCAAAAATGCTGCAAGTGCAGAACAATTACTTTCATACCAGTTAATAATTCAGCCAAATATTCACTGAATTTGGTATAAGCTTCCTTATATAGAACTACAAATAAGAATGATGGTTTTATTACTAATTCTTACAGTACAAATACAGACACGTCATAGAAATTATGAGAAATTTTGCATTACGGCCAAAATCTGCCAAATGAATAATTCCCTTTCCAGAACCCTTATGGAAAGCCTTCAACAAGAGTGATTTTATTTCTCACAAATCATCCGTTATTCATCATAAAAAATCATGCAAATTTTACATCATACCAGATGCTACACATTTGAAACTAACCATCATAAGCCAATATAAAATGTTTTAATCCACTGTAAAGATGAATGAATCTTTGCTGCAAGCAAACTGACTTCAGAGAGAGAGCACAGGAATTCATTATGTCGCAACTCAGAATTAGAAGATTGCAGACAATACAAAGGTTTTGTAATCTCTTGTATTTTACATGAAATGTAAAAACGTCCGAAGATGACGTAAAAAAACAGAATTACTTACGAATCCAAACTGAAGAGCCCCAAAAAGCCATTGATAAAAACATCTAGAAGACCTCACAACTTCTCTCCTTTCAGTCCGCTCTCCATGAAATCCTGACCCAGCCCGTTTGATTCATCTCTTGCCTTGGGTGGTAGCACCACACCTCACACGCAAGCTAACGAAGGCCCTCTTCTATAGATAATATTCCGTTTTTGGCCCGTGTAACCCAAACAAGTAAAGGGCCAGAGGACCTACTTTGCTCCACCCCCCCTTTCTCTATTCTTAGCCATTTCCGTTAATAATATCCAGAGTATTGTCTGTAGGGGCCTTGAGAAGCAACTCCCCCGACCTTCAGGAGAAGATCCTGTTTACCTTACGGATGCTTCTGTCTCCAACCAGTGTCTCTCTGGAATAATCTTCCATCAACCCTCGCACTCCCACCGCACCCAAAACACACATGCACATAACAAGAATAGGGAAAAGGCATTCATCACCGCTTGTACTTTTTCAGGAAACCGTAAATTCGAGGAGCCGAGCCGTCTAGTGTGATCTTTTGCCAAATAAGCAAATGTGGTCTGGGTTCACTTCTGAGGAACTTTACTCACCTAACAGCATCTCCAGTGCAGTAGCTTTGTTGGATGGAAAGCTTAAGCAGCTCCAGGTCCCTTAAGATAATAAAACACTGGCCAGTTTGGAGGTGTTATCTGGGCTCCTGATGATGTCCCCAGTGGGGCAGCTGCTCAGCCAGCAGCCAACAGTCTTCATGGATCATTTCCTTTTTCACTGCCATTCCAGTTTAATGGGATATCTGAATAATAAAAAAAAATGTATGGAAATTGGATTCCTGCCGGAGTGATGATGTTTAACTGTATTCTGCAAGGTTACAGCAAAAAAAGTTTTGAATTAATGC